AACATGAGCTACTCACCAACCCAAAGCAGCCTAGGGGCTGGAGGAAAGTCGTCTTCTATGTCTGCTAAAGGAAGCAGTAGAATGGATATGCACAGAATTGTGTCAGGCAGATCTGAGAAGGCAGCAGTGTTTGCTGTGGCTGATTTCTGTAAGATCAGATTCTGAATGCTACTGACCTGACCAAGGAAGGCAAGGAAGGAAACTACAGTTGTCTGTGAAAGAGTGCTGCATATAAAAGACCAAATAACATGACTTTTGAAACAAAATTTCCCTGTGCATGGGCATTTGGTGCAGCAGTAAGTCACTCCTTGGGACACCTACATCACATGTGCAATCACAGCTTTCTGCAATGCAGACTTCAGGAAGATGCAGCTAATGGTTCAAGTTCTTTCACCCAAATGGAAGTTCAAGACTAGACTATTGGTTCATGGTCTTACTTTGTCCCTGATATGGGGAATAAATCAACAAGTGAGATCTCTCTTTCTCTCTACTCTTCTTCACTATCTTGTTTTAATCATTTGTTCCTTTTAAAGTCAGAGAGGAAAGGAGAGATTTTTCTATCCCCTAATTCATTCCCCAAATGACCTCAACAGCCAGGAATGGGCCAGGCTGAAGACAGGAGCCAGAAACTTCGCTTCAGTCTCCTGGGAAGGTGGCAGGGGCCCAAAAAATTTAGACTCTCTTCCCTTGCTCTCCTAGTTACATTAGCAGGGACCTGGATCAGAAATCCCGGAGCATCCAGGACACAAAGCAGTATCCGTAAGGAATTGTGGCATCGCAGACAGTGACATAACTCATAGCACCACAACACAGGTCTCTCTCTCTCTCTCTCTGCTGTTCAAATAAATAAAACCAATTAATTAATTTTAGAAAAAGAAAAATTCCATACTCTAAGCTTCTTGAGACTTTCAGAAGTTTATATATCACTTTAGAGCAAGGGTTGCAATCTAGGGCTCTCAGGCCAATTGGTTTTATAGAGTCAAACTAAGATTGGTGTTTACATTTTTAAATGGCTAAAAAAAAATCAAAAGAAGACTATTTTGAGACACATGAAACGTACACTATATTCAAATTTCATTGTCCATAAATATTTATTGGAACACATCCACACATCTTCATTTACGTAATGTCAGTGACTGCACTATCAATGCCAAGGTGAGGAGAGATCATCTGGACTGGAATGCTAAAAGTTTTCCTATCATGTCCTAGACACAGTGCTTGCCAACCCATAATTTAGATGCAGTCCCACTTTCAGTGGCTGTTCACGATCTTTGTGCTCCCCTAGGGAAGATGAGAGAGTGAAATACTCTTTTCTCTCTTGAAGGAGGATTCAACCGTTGGTTGGGCACCCTTGGCCAGGGTTCGAGCTGCTTAGAAAAGAACGCTTATTACTCCTTCCTCCCGTAAGCCCATCAGAACAGAATGCATACTGACAGCTCTCCACACAATCAATGTCAAAATGAGGATTCTTGTGAGCATGTACTGAGAAATTAGATTTTTGTCATTGGTGGTGAAAATAGAATGCATTTTTAAAATGTACAATCCCTGTTTCCCCCCATGTGAGCATGACACTTTGCAGACACCTGTTCTGAAGTTTCCGCAGACATAATTTCCCATTGGAACTTACTGTTTGAGCAAATTTTGAGAAAAGATACAGAAAGATGTTATACCATATAATACCACCCAAAGAAAAAAATAGAGAAGTGAGTGGCAATGGGTGAGTCAAAGCTTAATTCATAGGGTTTAATCATCAGGCATCAAGCTAACAATAAACTACTGAAGGAATAAAGATTAATATAAATCCATGGACATAGTGCTCAGGAATTAACACTAGTGACTTTAATCAGATCCCAAGGGAATCCAGTGTGCCAAATTTAACCCCGCTTTTACCACGTGGTTGCTTGTTGAGTCTCAGAAGCACGGACCCGATACGTAAGCCAGGTCTTTTCCATGGAGTGCGCAGTGATCTATGGGTATGCTTCTAAAGCAATATTTCATTCCTCAGAATGCCAGAACCCATTCCCAAGGCCTTGTTTACAGCAGAACATCAGTATTCTCCGGGCACACACGTCAGCGCTGAAGGAACTTTAAATAGCACCAGAGAAAAGTGTTCTTGGTAGTAACACAGCCTGTGATAAACTTTGAAATACAAATGAGAAGTGGAAGTGAATGTTAAACGTATGCCTTGTCCTAAAACTTCATGAAAAATGAAATGTACAAGAAAAGTTGGATCCCTGCCATGACACCCATTACAGTGTAGACCAAGGCGCTGACCTTTCATGCTATACTTACTGTGTTTTTGACACATTTAGTCAATTAAAACGGGTGAAGTGTAATTTGTTTTTCTTAAGTTTAATACAGCATGTCAATAGAAGTTAACCAAAATTTATAGTTGGAACACTAAAGCTGCCACATGCACTTAAACAAATGAACACAATTTATCATGGTTGAAATAAAGAGAACATCATGGGCATTTGACTTTATACTTCACATAAGCGTGTTGCCAAATATAGGAAAGCAAGCTCCTTCTCACACTTCCAATGGAAAAGACATTGTGGTTCGCATTAAATATTGGTGTGAAAAATCTGGCAGGTATCCAGTCCTAAGGAGTGTTAACGTTGGCACTTCCACTGTGTACTTTTACTATAAATTGTTGTAGCATTTATTTGACATGGAATACCCAAAGGATTGATGAGCGAAGAAAGGAAGATTTTTTTTTATTGTGCCGTATTACCTTTTTCAGACATCTATACTAAGCTTTTACATCTTCAAAGTCTAAACAAGTAGCCACCTGTATTCAATCGGTGCAAGATATTTTTCATGAAAGTATAGTTTGCCTTTTTATAAACCTATAAAAGCACACATTTTCCATTTTATTAGTCAGCAAAGCAGTGGTAGATTTAATAATAAAACTTATAAAATGCAGTTTCTTTATAGACAGTTTAACTTTTTGCTTGTTTAAAATGCCACAAGGACAACCAAATTTATATCATCGTTTCTGTCTCGATCCCACAAAAACAAGTGACTACAATTTTGTACGCCTTTACTTAAAATAATTCACCACCCACTCCTTGGACAGTTTATATAGCAGCCTCGGTTGTGTCTAAAATTTTAAGAGAAAAAGTGATACCACAAAGAAAAAGATGATGTGTACAAGTACGTGAGTTTGAATTGGCAGCTATGACATGTCAATTGTCCCCAGGGTCAACTCAGCACCCAGGCATTTCAAATTTCTCAGAGTAATTTAAAATGTTTGTGCCTCATTCTTTAAATATGTATATTTGTTTGTTTGAAAGAATTACCAAGAGACAGTAAAAGACAGCGAGTGAGAAAAGTTCCATCTTCTGGTTCACTTCCGACAAGGCAACCATAGCTGAGACTAAGCTAAGCCAAAGTCAGGAACTCCATCTGGGACTCACACGTGGGTGGCAGCCACCCAAATGCTTGGACAAACTTCCTCTGCTTTCCCAGACACATCAGCAGGAAACCGAGTGGGAAGCGGAGTGCCTGGGATTTGAACCAACACTCACGTCAAATGCCAGCATTGCAAGTTCCACTCCAACCTATTACACTACAAGGCCAGACCCTGTGTTTTATTCTTATATTAACTAAATGGTTCCAATTGTGATCCCAAGATTAACAACTGCTGCCCATATTTTACAAAAATGGTAAGATACATTTTAAAAGTTGAGACTGGCTTAAGAGAATCAAGTTACACTATTTTGAAACTAATATACCTAAAAGTTCAATTTTGTGGGCCAGGTGCAGTAGCCTAGTGGCTAAAGTTCTCACCTTCAACGCACCGGGATCCCATATGGACACCAGTTCTAATCCTGGCAGCCCTGCTTCCCATTCAGTTCCCTGCTTGTGGCCTAGGAAAGTAGTGGAGGATGGCCCAAAGACTTGGTACCCTGCACCCGCATGGGAGACCTGGAAGAGGCTCCAGGCTCCAGGCTTTGGATTGGCTCAACTCCAGCCATTGCAGCTGCTTGGGGAGTGAATCATTGGACAGAAGATCTTCCTCTCTGTCTTTCCTCCTCTCTGTATATCTAACTTTCCAAGAAAAAATAATAAAATAAATCTTTTTTTAAAAAAGTTCAATTTTGCAAGATTTTGGAGTTTAAAAATGAAGTGTATGTAATATACATAGTAATAGTCCTGCTTAATGAATACCTAGTGTAACCTACCACACATTTCTATGCACCTGCCTCAAGACTTTCACACTTAGCAAGCCTGCTTGATTGGTAGCACGATCAATGGCTGCGGTGTTTAACACAATCAAAAGTTGTATCGGTCCTGAGGATATCATTAGACTAAATTAGTATAACAAAATTATTTGTCTTTGTCTTTAGGTCAGCTCATCCGTTTCTAATTTACAGAACAGAAGCACATCTTGAATGGGCAATTTAGTTTCTCACTGGGGAAAATTTGGGGGATTTTGCAACCAACCATTTCTTAACTTGGCTACCAAATTATTTAAGATTGAAAATAATCTATATATTTGACACCAGACATATATTTACCTTTGAATTAGTGGGATCCATACTAGATTTCAGTCTGGCAATGGAACCTTAGCTCACCAGCTGCTCAATCAACTACTGGGTTTACAGCACGAGAAAGCAAATTAATTAGTTAATCCTTTTAAACTTTGAAATTTGCTTCTGAAAATAAAAGGTGAAACTAGATGAGTATTTCACAACACAAAAGGAAAAATTGTGTGTGGATTTTTTCGAATAACTGGCATGGTCTTCTGCTGACATCTTTGTGAGGTCTCATGTATTCGTACTAAAATGTCACGGATTGTCTAATGTTATTTTTCAAATATCCTAAAACTACTAAGAACACACACACAATCTAACTAGAGTAAAATGAGATGTTACTATACAGATGGTACTGGTGGGAATTTTAAAAGTGATAATATCTATTGATGTTGGCAATGTGGAAAATAAAATATTCAGGTATTGAAGAACGGGCCTGCCCTCAAGCTCTAGCTGCGCCAGATGGCAGCTATCTCAGCCTCGGGAGTGAACGTCCCTCGCAATTTCCGACTGTTGGAAGAACTCGAAGAAGGCCAGAAAGGAGTAGGAGATGGCACAGTTAGCTGGGGTCTAGAAGATGATGAAGACATAACACTTACAAGATGGGCAGGGATGATAACTGGGCCTCCAAGACAGGCCCCACGGTCACCAGGGAATAAGGCGGGCAGTTCCTCAGCAGCAAGAACCACCGAGGGGCCCAGTGTAATAGCCTAGCGATTAAAGTCCTCGCCTTGCACACGCTAGGATCCCATTTGGATGCAACTTCTAATCCCAGCAGCCCCGCTTCCCATTCAGCTCCCTGCTTGTTGGCCTGAGAAAGCAGTGGAGGACGACCCAAAGCCTTGGGACCCTGCACCGGCATGGGAGACTCAGACGAAGCTCCTGCCTTCCGATCAGCTCAGCTCTGGCCTTTGCGACCACCTGGGGAGTAAGTCAGCAGACAGAAGATCTTTCTGTCTCTCCTCCTCTCTGTATATCTGACTTTCCACTAAAAATAAATAAATCTTAAATATACATACATATATATATTCATGTATTGCTGCAAGAGGCAGAAATTGTACTGACAAAGCAATCTGGCAATATCTATTACAATTAGAAATTCACATGGCCTTCGTATCAGCATTCCCATTATAAGAACAATTACAAAAATTTTTAGGATAGTAATCAAAAAAGTGGCTAAGAGGGAGGTACATGTCAATTAATAGGTAAATAATTGGATAAATTGTGGTATAGGCAGACATGAAACAGTAAGTTGCAAATTACAAAAAATAATCTCAATTTATAATCAGTATTTTAAAGCATTTCCACAAGGTGTTGCTAGGTTAAAATTTATATATATATATATATATAGTATAATTCCTTTCTAAACCAAACTACCAAAAGTTACCAAAAGACTGGCAGGCTCCTACATGACTGAGAGACAGTCCAGTGGCAGCACGGTGAACTTGGGAAAATTCACGAAAGACACACATTGTGAACCTAGAGGGGAGAGCAGAGGGGAGCGGAGGGAGCTTGGGGGAAGGGGAAGGGAGACCCCAGTGCTAACTAAACTGTATCAAAAAAACAATTTTAAAAAGTTACCAGACCATATGCAATATGAAAATACAACACATGGGTTTCCCTGTTTTGCACCAACGTAAACTTTGTATGTACCTACGTAAACTTAAATGGATTTAAACTCATAAGAAACAACTTTTTTTTGCAAGCAATGTTTACTTACTCATTTTTATTTATTTGAAAGGTGGAGTAAAAGAGAGAAAAAAAAGAGCAACAAAGATACTCAGATTGTCCACCTGCTGATTCACTCTCTAAATACCCACAAGAGTTGAGTTTGAGCCAAGACAAATCCAGAAGGCCGAAATTTCATCTTGAACCTCCACATGGACATAGGAGATCAACATTTGACCCAAAAGCTGTTGTTAACCACTTGCATTGGCAGGAAACTGGATTAAAAGCATAGGTAGAGACAAGATTTGATCCCAGGCACTAAAATGTGGGGATCCCAAACACTGAACCACACCACCTCCTCCCCATTGTTTTTAAATTTTAAGTTCTATAAAGAAAAGAGATTTCCTTAGCTCACAATGTTAGAGGATAAGACTGAGGGACTGCATTGAGCTAGCATCTAGCAGAGTCCTAAAGTGGCATAAGACAAGACACAGGGAGAATATGTTTATCCAAACAACCCAGTTTTAATGGGAAAAGTGGAAAGATTCGTGCAAAACTAGATGTGGCATACACCAACAGTTGGCCTCCTGACCCATTTTCTCCTTCATTAGTAGACTAACTCTGGGTATTATCTGAACAAAAAGGTGCTGAAAGCAATATATTTTCTTCTGTTTTAAGATTTATTTATGTTTATCTGAAATGAAGATTTTTACAGAAACAAAAGGAGAGAAGAAGATAGAGGATTTTACATCAGCACTGGTTTATTCCCCAAAATGGCCACAATGGTCAGAACTGAGCTGGCTACCCAAGTGGGTGCAAGGACCCAAGGCCTCAAGGCATCCACCGCTGCTTTCCTAGAGATCTAACTGGGAGGTGCAGCAGCCAGGACATGAACAGGTGCTTATATGGGATGCTGGTGTTTACAAACAGAATTAGCCTGCTCTACCACTGCAACAGCCCTAAGCACTGAATTTTCATGTATTTCTTGTGCATGGGAAAGCAGGACTATACAACGTGCCTAAGTTCTGCCATATTTGAAAAAGCAAGCAGAAGTAGCATGTACAGCTGCTAACCTGGAGCATGAGAGTGGGATGGGTAATCTACAACCCCACAGACCAGAGCAACCTCAAAAGCCTATTACAGAGCCACAAATGATAGCAGTGGTGTTATATGATACCCTTGGTTTGCTGATGCCCGCCTAGTTAGAAAAGAGACAAACATTTATCTTTCTAAAGTCCACGCTGTTTTGCTTTATTCTTTTATTTTACTCTAACTCTCCCTCCATTTCTCTTTTTCTCTCTCTGTATCACTGCCTCTTAAAAAAAGTTAATTTATTTCTACAAATATGCAGATCCATTGTTCAATAGTTCTCTATGTTGGTAATTCAATTTATATCTTCTTGAATTGAAGTCGAGGTGTCTGTGGGCTGCTTTCCAATCCAAGGATTAAGAAGAGGAGTGTCTCCTGTGTTCCTATCACTTGCAGACTTCATTTCTTGTGGTTTCGTTGATTTATACCTGGCTATGCACTTAGAGTCTCACCAGCTTCTCTAAGTGACTCAGGTCACTAGGCCCATGGCCCCTTTCTCTGGTCTTTAAACCCATCGATAACTAGTGCAATCAAGTTCCTCCCAAATTATATCTCTCTGACTCACCAAGGAAAAGTTACCCACTTGCCAATGCTCATGTGATTAGCTTCCAGTTTCAAAATCTTAGTCATAACTACAAAGTCACTTTGACAGTGGTGCCTTATGAAGCCCTGTCTGCTTCATATTCACAGATTCAGAAAGCCAGCATCATTACCCTACTACAGACTCCAACACATATATCTCTTTTAAAAACACAAAAAAGTGGGCCCAGTATAGTGGCCTAGAACTGGCTAAAGTTCTAACCGTACACCCACCAGAATCCCATTTGAGCGCCAGTTCTAATCTGAGCAGCTCTGATTCCCATCCAGCTCCCTGCTGTGGCCTGGGAAGGCAGTCGAGGATGGCCCAAAGCCTTGGGACCCTGCACCGGTGTGGGAGTCTCCTGGCTTCGGATTGGCACGGCTTCAGTCGTTGCAGCCACTTGGGGATTGAACCAATGGATGGAAGATCATCCTCTCTGTCTCTCTTCCTCTCTATATATCTAACTTTTCGATAAAAATAAACATTTTTTTTAAAATGGCATAGTAAGGAAAAACACAATTGATTTAATTTCAAGCTATTGAGGCAAAATACAATCAATGAAAATATTAGAAAACAGAATCAAACTGCATATTAAAATTGATGTATCATGTCCAAATTGGATTTAACTCATAAAGAGCGGTTCAATATTAGAAAATCCATTAGTATGATTTTGAAATATCTCGGAGAAGTGCTGGGGTACCAAAAGTTAAGCCACCTCTTGGGACACCTGCAAGCCATATCACGGGACTGGTTTGAGTCCCAAGTACTCGGCTTCTTGTACAACTTAATGCTAACGTATCCTGAGAGGCAGAGGCTGATGGCTCAAGGGCCTGGGCTCTTGCCACCCATGTGGGAGACCCAAAGGCTTGGCCAGTGCTGAAAGTTGCAGGCACTGGGGAGTGAATCAGAAGACGAAAGCACTCTTACTCTCTCTCTCTGCTCCCACCCCAAAGTAATCTAAAATTTTTTTGAAAGAGAAATTATTTGGTCACACCTTACACATTGAAGAATGCCAATGAAATTCAAAATCCATTTTTGAGAAAATAGCTTGTAGAATGGAAAATCAGCTATTTTACTTAAATTAGTAAAATACACTGTTGCAGTCCTGGAGCCAGCACATGGCATTCCCAGCAAGCATCCAACACAGGGTCAGGAAGTGTGCTTGTCCTATGCACAGCTTAACACAGAACTGAAAGTGCTTGCTAATACAATAAAACAAAGGGAAAGACTTAGAAAAGAAAGAAAAAATCATCTCCATTGTCAATGGTGTCATACTTTGCTTGAAATATCCTAACCCATGAGAAAACTATCATAAATAAAAGTAATTTAGAAAAACACAAAATTATCTGAAAGCTCTGGTTACATTTTATTCCCATATATAAAAATGTTATAGATATAGACATAGATATAGATATAGATATCTTTTATATGGATCTACAGATTTAGATATAACCAATCAGAAAATACAAGCAGAAAATGTTTGCCATACCAGTAAAAGTACATAACATAGGTATAGGCATTGGGGTGGATTGGCTAAATCTCTACTTGGGACTCCCACATTCCATATCTGAGTGCTTGGATTCAAATTCCAGCACCTGATTTAATTTTACCTTCCTGATAAGGCTCATTCTGAGAGTTAGCAGGTGACAGCTCGAGTAGTTAGGTACCTGCCCCCACGTGAGTCCTGGCACCTGATTTGCTCAGTCTCGCCTATTGCAGGCATTAAGGGAGTGAGTGAAACAGCAGATAGAAGATCTTTCTCTTTCTCTGTGTTTCAAATAAATTTAACACTCCAAGAAACAGAGTTAATAAACATTACATTTTCCAATAAAAGTACAAAACTCATAGGAAGAATATTTCAGACCCTCTTGAACAACAAAAAAGAGTTGAGGAGGGAAAACAAGCTCATTTTTTGTTAGTTCTGCAACAGCTACAAATATATTGAGTACCCTCCCAGCTAACATAGATGTGATTCTTTTTTAAAATATCCATACATGAGATTTTTGTTTCTGAAAATGGTTAAGTTGGCTCTACAATCTATGTAGGAAAATATACAAAATTAACTGACAATTTCCTTATACTGAAGAGCTCCTGGGAACATAATTAGACCACCTACGTATCAAAACGAGACTGGAAGAATATAATAGAAAGTTTAATATAAGTCCAAAAGCGTACAGAAGTTTGAAACGTAAATGAGACATCACCTCACATTGATGAAAAGACAGACAGTGAAACTCCATGATGTGGAGGTCAAGACTTTCTAAAGCTCTAAATCCAGGGCCCAGTGTTTGGTGCAGTAGTTCCTTTGCTATGTTGCACACTTGTACCCTTTATCAGATGTGTCTACATTAAATCCAAGCTCCACTATTTCCAATCC